GAGAGTGGGTGAAATTAAAAGATCATGCAAGTATTTGGAAATCCATTGGGCCGGGCAGTGTCGGAGTGGTGCAAGGATTGGGATACGACGGCGATAAATGGGATGGAACCACTTTTGTTGGATTTTGCGGGGAGCAAGAAAAATGGGTTGGGCCTACCTCTGATCTTGCTTGGGTGAACAGGCTCATGGTTGGCCAGAAGGTTAGAGTTAAACTATCTGTCAAGCAGCCAAGATTTGGGTGGTCAGGCCACAGCCATGCAAGTCTTGGAACTATATCAACAATTGATGCTGATGGCAAGCTGAGAATATACACCCCAGCTGGTTCAAAAGCTTGGATGTTGGATCCATCGGAAGTGGAGCTTGTGGAGGAAGAGGAGCTTCACATTGGAGACTGGGTTAGGGTTAAAGCATCAGTTTCAACTCCAACCCACCAGTGGGGAGAGGTGAGTCGTTCGAGCGTTGGGGTGGTGCACCGCATGGAAAATGAGGAGCTCTGGGTGGCATTTTGCTTCACAGAGAGGTTGTGGCTTTGCAAGGCGTCAGAAATAGAACGGGTTAGGCCATTTAAAGTTGGGGACAAAGTGAGGATTAGAGAAGGGCTGGTGACCCCACGGTGGGGTTGGGGAATGGAGACTCATGCAAGCAAAGGACAGGTAGTGGGGGTGGATGCAAATGGAAAGTTAAGAATTAAGTTCCGGTGGAGAGAAGGGAGGCCATGGATCGGAGATCCTGCAGATGTTGCTCTTGATAAAAGCACGTAACACAACTCATCCAACTTATGTTCTTCTCAATTGGCTCCTCCACTTTCAGGGGTTCTTGCCCTCTCTCGGCTTGTGCAGATAAGTGCGAATGCCATTGTGACCGCACAATGCGATCAGATCTGCTCCGAAACTATAACTTTGTTGTAATGGGCTCTGAAGGGATAATTTATTTGTTAATACAGAAGAGTACAAGAGATGGATAGATAGGAAACGGGGGGAAATTGTCTTGCCTTACTGTTAATTATAGGGGACACAACGGAGGCAGAGAGAGGTGGCAGTTTGCCATACGTGTTTCATAGGTGTTGTGCAGTTGACAAGCTTTTGAGGTATATATATATGAGGTTATTTATATTGATGTACAAATTGAACCCGTAATCTTGTCAGTTAATACATTCTTTTAGAAGCACCCGGTAGATGTTTTCTCCAAAACCCACTGAAGAGTTTTTATAACTTAGAAAACTGTCATGCCCAAGCAACAGGTAAATGTATAAACACAATGGAGGAAGCAAGCTGCAAATAAATTATGTACCAACAAATTACAATTCATATATCTTCATATGCTAAAAGTGGTACTACCCTGCCGCATTCGACAAATGATTAGGTATAGGGTACATTACTCAAATGGTCCTCAAATTTATACTTGATTTACATTTTGGTCCTTCAACTAAATTAATCGTTCAAATGATCCTTCAACTCTATATTATTCGCTCTAGTGGTCCTACTGTCTAATTTTCTGTTAGATTTAACCAAATTTTAGGGTAAATAATGACCAATTTGTCCTCATATTTAACATAAATATGGACAAAATGTAACGGTAGGACCAATGGAGCAAATAATATAGAGTTGATGGACCATTTGAATGAATAATTTAATTGAGGGACCAAAATGTAAATCGAGTTTAAATTTAAGGATCATTTGAGTAATTTACTCTTATGTATATTCCCGTAAAAAAAAGGCATGTTACCATTTAAAAACAAATCACTCGGCTCGGTGCAATTGGCATATGCACTTCATACATACATATGAACATTGAAGAAAAATCAAATACAGGGACAAACCATTGGGGATGTTGGTTTTTTATCTTAATGAGTATTTCAAAATATGTTTCAATACCAAATATTTTAGAATTCAAAATCAACTTTACTGTTTGAACGTTAGTTGATTTGATGTAATTGCTTTCTTCAATTTGAATCTGTATTCTGATTGCTAATAACGTTTAATTAGTTTAATTGTGAAACATACTGTAGACCCACTCAAATATCATTTACTTGTTTGTTTATTCTGGGCATTAAATTCTATTGGCCGACTTTGGTTTTAATGTACACTTTGCCTTCAATTTATTTGATTCTTACCGGAAAAGCTTTTGCTTATATGATCAATTTGATTTGTTGAAGGTCTTGAATACATAACCATTTGTGTTTATATATATTTAATAGGTCTATTGGTATCAGTATTCAATTTCTAAACTATGCCACCATTATTCATCAAAAGGAAAAATTTTATCTTTAATGACCAACGTCTCTTCGGGGTCAGCAACTTCTATATATAGCTTTGGCTATTTTGGCTGAACATGTATCTTAATTCGAGCATTTTTTTTCTCTCAATTTATGTCCTTCCACATTATTTCATTTCCTCACAATTTGCATACAGTTTTGTATTGTGTTAATTTTATTGGGGGTTTCACTAAAACACCCAAAATGGGGGCTAAAATTATAAAAAAACCCAACACCCAAAACACTTTATAAACACACCCAAAACCCATTATTACACACACTCAAAACCCATTTATAAACACACCCAAAAAATATACAATTGTTGATTTTGGGGTTGATTTTGGATGTGTTTCTATGTTTAAATAGTGTGTGGGTTTTTTTATAAATACATGTCTAGGATTGGGTTTATTTATAATAATCTAAATTTTATTTTACTTCCCAAGGAAAAGACTCAAGTGTTTATCCAATTTAATTATTCCGAGTGTACGTTTACAAGGATCAAAAGTTGTTGTATCCTAGAGTGTAGGATGTCATAACCTGCTACACCTAGATATTATCTCAGAGGGGGATCTAATCTTAAGGACAGTAACTTACACACCTCAATCTACTATTCGTGATCAAAATAGAGCATCCACAACCAAGATTCTCCAACAGTGGATGCACTAACAACTTTCTAATGTTCCACAAACAACTTTTATCTACAATGTCACATTCCATGATTTTTCTCAATTTACTTTTTATATATGGTATTTGAAATATGCTTTTGAATAGCTTACTTTTCGTCTACTTTACGTTTTGAAATCTGGTAAGAGCCGTAGATTTACAAAGAGATCAACGGCATTGGAGTCTGGTGCGTGTCATTGTTGTCTTGTCTTGTCATCCTCCCCCCCAAGTTCCAACAGTCCAAACCAGGAGAAAAAGTGTCCCTTAAGCCGTGTGGGTCCAATTGTTGAAAGGATATGATGCTCTTTTTATTATTATTTTTAATTCTCAAAATTTTCAAATATGAATCAATCTTTATATATTGTGAATTTTTTATCTGAATTTTTCTAATTTTGTTTTTATTTTTTTCAGAAGTAAAAGAGACATCACTGCTTTTCACAAAAAGCTTTCATAGTTCCTTATAAACCTGTATTTCCAAGTTATGCTAGCTTAGCTATTTGAAAATCTTGGAATATTACTTCATCCAAATCCCTTGCAGAGAAAAGAAGAGAAAAATAGCTGGAGCTTTGATCGGAGAGGCTTTTATTTCTGCTTCCATCTGACAACTTTCAAATGCATTCACTAAACTAATATGACAATACTTCAAGCATCTTTTGATATTTTCACCCATGCATCATGTTTATTACTCTATTCTTATATTATCATACATTAGCCACTGCATCATATCTGATTTAATACCCCACCACCATCATTTTATGCTATTCACTAGAAAAAAAGGATGTGCTATATAGGTGATCGCTGTTTATTGTGACACTTTAGACGACGGTGATTATCGTTATCTGTTAACCACTTAGACGATGATTTTACAAAATCACCGTTGTCTATTTATCAATTCATACGATAGTGGATCACCGTCCTCTATTTGTTATTTTTTATCGTCTTAATGGTAATTAGACGACAATATAATTTCGTTACCCGTCGTCTAAGTGGTGATATTTTGTAATGGTATTTGTAGGTTTATATCCTTTTTTATTTTGGGGTTGCTCATTTGCAATTAATAGACTTTTCCATTCTCAAAAATTTAAGCTCAACAGATGCTTAAATTTTGTCATCAATTTAACCAAAATACAAAAGAATTCTTCTAAGTTACCCATAAAACTCACTTCCAAGGTCTATGTATAACCCCCTAGAAATTCTGCTCCTTCACCACACATTTCATTAATCTCCTTTTGCGTGTAACTTTGATCAATTGTCTTCTCCCACCCACTGAAACATAATAAATAAAAAAGAAAAAGTAGTCAATAAGTTCAACATCATGGTAACATATTTCTCAAGTCCTTCATATGACTCATTAAAAACTCAACAATATTGTTCAAAGCAAACCCTTTTTTTAGTCCATCAAAGGGCATGTGTAAATTGATATATTTTTCCATCAAGATGAGCATAACCATTTTACTAATCACTGCTAAACCATACGAAAGCCGAAACAATGCAGGGGAAACAAGAAGGAATGAAAGAGAAGAAGAAGAGGAAATGCGATGCAAGACCTGCATTGGCCTAAACATCAAGGCATTCTATAATTCCAAATTACTATTACTTTTGTAAGAATGATTCTCAACACACGTGAAAGCATCATTCATCATTATCGACGATAGAATGGTCACAGCAACAGCCACCCAACGGAAAATATATAATACGGGCTTTCTCCATTACGGATTACAATAACAAAAAGCTTTCATACAGCCTCACCTTTTGAAATTTGTTAAGAGCCGTAGGTTCACAAAGAGATCAACGGCATTCGAGTTTGGTCCACTTGAGAACCGTTGAATTGTCATTCTTGTCTTGTCATCCCCCAGCATCCAATTTGAATTAGTTAATGGTAATGACGAACCATCCCCCATGTGAGGGCAAAGAAAAATTTAAAAAACTTGTCATCCCAGAGAAAGACATTTTTAAAAATTAATTTAAATTATCATCACTTGAGCTAAAAAACTCGAACACTGACAAGACTGCCAACCAAACGGTACTTGTTAAATACATAATATATAATTACAATCACAAAAGCTTTCATACTGCCTTACTTGTATTCCCAAGTTGTGCTAGCTGAGCTATCTGCGAAGAAAAGAAGAGAAAAATGGCTGGAGCTTTGATCGGAGAGGCCTTTATTTCTGCTTCCATCCAGGTGATTTGTGACAGAATTGCCTCACCCGAGTTCATCGACTTATTTCGGCACAAGAAACTCGATCAACCTCTCCTCATGAAACTGAAGAGGACCCTGTTGACCTTGAACGCAGTGCTTGATGATGCAGAGGAGAAGCAAATTGAGAAACCAGCTGTGAGAGAGTGGCTTGACGACCTCAAACATGCAGTCTTTGATGCTGAGGACTTGCTGGATGAGATCAACTATGAATCTTTGCGATGCAAGCTGGAAGGTGAAGCTCAAACAGCGGACAAATTTACCAACAAGGTGTGGAACTTCCTCCCTACTTCTCGTAATAAGTTTTATCAAAGCATGAATGTTAAGATACAGGAGTTGTTACGAAAACTAGAAGACTTTGTACAACTGAAAGGTGCTCTTGGTTTGACAGAAGTTGTTGGGAGGAAGGTTTCACAAAGAACTCCAACAACTTCCTTGATTCATGAACCTTATGTATATGGTAGAGATGAAGTCAAAGAAAATTTATCAAAAGTGTTGTTCTCTGATGATGCAAGCGAGGAAAATGTGTCTGTCATCCCAATTGTTGGAATGGGTGGGGTTGGCAAGACAACCCTTGCTCGAATGCTTTACAATGACAATAAGGTGAAAGAGTATTTTACCCTTAAGGCTTGGGCTTGTGTTTCAGAAGATTATGATGCTATCAGGGTAACTAAAACTCTTCTCGAGTCAGTGACTTCAAAACCTTGTAATAAGACAGATCTGAATTTGCTTCAAGTTGAGCTAAGTGAAGAACTGAGGGGGAAGAAATTTTTGTTTGTATTGGATGACCTTTGGAATGAGAAATATACTGATTGGAACTACCTCCAAACTCCTTTTACTTCAGGAGCAAGGGGAAGTAAAGTCCTCGTAACAACAAGGAACAAAAATATAGCATCTTTCATGCAAAATGTTCCTATTCAAACATTGGAACCATTGTCGCATGAAGATTGCTGGTTCTTACTTGCAAAACATGCAAATATAAATTCTAGTTCACATCCAAGCTTGGAAGAAATCGGCAAGAAAATTGCACGCAAGTGCAATGGATTGCCTTTAGCTGCGCAAACACTTGGCGGTGTGTTACGTTCAAGGCCAGACTCTGAGGTATGGAACAGAGTACTAAACAGCAGTATTTGGGAGTTACCTTGCAAGAAAAGTGACATTCTTCCCGCTCTAGGATTGAGTTATCATTATCTTCCAGCTAAGTTAAAGCGATGCTTTATTTATTGTTCAATTTTGCCAAAGGACTATGAATTCATGGTAGAAGATGTTATTTTTCTTTGGATGGCGGAAGGTTTAGTTCCCCAAGTGGAGAATGGGGATAGCATGGAAGAAGTGGCTAAGGAATATTTTGATGAACTGTTATCCCGATCACTGTTTCAAACGTCGGGGAAATCAAGTTTCGTTATGCATGATCTCATAAATGACTTGGCGGTGTTCATGTCTAAAGGATTTTGCTCTAGGTGGGAAGGGAGGGAATCACATGAAGTAGAAAGAGTTCGCCATTTGTCATATGCTAGGGAAAAATTAGATGTTGCTGTTAAATTTGAGCCATTAAAAGGGGCTAAGTGTTTGCGTACCTTCCTATCTTTCTCTTTAAAAACATATTACAGGCATAAAAGTTATTATGTAAGTAAAAAGGTTCTACATAATTTGTTGCCATCACTAACATGTTTACGGGTGTTGTTATTGTCCTGTTATGTGAATGTCACTGAGTTACCTGATTCCATTAAAAAGCTCATTCACTTGCGCTATTTGGATCTCTCCAATACTGCAATTGAAACATTACCCAGTGTACTTTGCAGCCTGTACAATTTGCAGACATTACTATTGTCAAATTGTTCCCGTCTCGTTGAATTACCTGCAGACTTGAGAAAATTGATAAATTTACAGAAATTAATGTTGGGAGGTTGTAAGTCTCTTACTAAATTGCCTGTAGGCATGTGGGAATTAATTAATTTGCATCATCTTGACGTGAGTGGAACTGATATTGCAGAGATGCCAATGCAAATGAGTACATTGAGAAGCTTGAGAACATTGCCCGCTTTTATTGTGGGCAAATCTACTGGGTCGACTATTGGAGAATTGGGGGAGCTTCCACATCTTAGGGGAAAACTTTCAATTTTGCAGCTACGAAATGTACTTGATGCTAGGGATGCCTTGGAAGCAAATTTGAAGGATAAGAAAGATCTCAAAGAGCTAGAGTTGGAATGGGGTAATGAGGATGCGGATGATTCCCAAAAGGAGAATGATGTACTGGAGAAGCTCCAGCCTTGGGTGAATCTGGAGAAACTAACCATCAGTGGGTATGGTGGAAAAGATTTCCCGAAGTGGCTAGGCGACTCATCCTTGTCCAACATACAAGTCATGCGTATTAGTTATTGTAGTAATTGTTCGTCGCTGCCACCGGTTGGGCGGCTACCTACCCTCAAAAAGCTTTATGTAGGACAAATGAAACTTGTTAAGACGATTGGTGTTGAGTTTTATGGCAGCACTGGATCTTCTGTAATTCAGCCATTTAAATCACTGGAGAAGCTGGAGTTTGTTGGGATGGCAGAGTGGGAGGAATGGGTACCAAGTGGAAGTAGAGGTGCAGACTTTCCTTGTCTCCAGAAGCTCGTACTATGGGAGTGTCCGAAGCTGAGAGGAAGCTTGCCTTGTGATCTGCCTTGCTTGAAGAAACTTACAGTTGAAGGGTGTGGGGTTTTACATGATCAAAGGGCCACTACTGCTACTAGTGATTACAAAGCTCTTGAAGAATTGAGAATAGGAGAAGGATCCGAAGCAAGAGCACCAACACTTGACGGTAAGTTCTCATCACTAGAGACAAAGCTCCTGTCCAAACTTCAATGTTTGGAACTATATACTTGTCCAACCCTGTCGTCGTTCCCTGAAGATGGGCTACCTACTACGTTGACATCCCTTGTGATAGACTTTTGTAGGAGATTAGAATTACCTCATGAGATGTTGGCCAAATTAACATCGCTCGGGCATTTGGCGATATTGAATAGCTGTGATTCAATGAGGTCCTTCCCGTTGGGCATTTTCCCCAAATTGACGTCGCTTTTCTTTTTTAATTGTAAGAATCTGGAATCCTTTTCCTTGACAGGAGTTGATGAGAATCTCAGTCGTCTCATTATCGCACAGTGTCCAAATCTGGTGTGTTTTCCCCAGGGAGGATTGCCCACTCCCAACTTGACTCAATTGGATGTTGAGGGATGCGACAAGTTGAAGTCATTACCTGAACGCATTCACACCCTCACAGCCCTTCGATCTTTGGGAATATGGGATCTTCCAAATCTGGAGTCAATTGCAGAAGATGGGGGTTTGCCTCCCAACCTCCGAGATTTTAGGATTAACAATTGTGAGAGACTGATGGCTTCATCTTCATCAGTGGCAGAGTACTGGGGTTTGCAAGGAGTTGTCTCCCTTGAAAAATTTGAAATTAGTGGCAGGGGAAGTGACGAAATCTTGGAGACGTTGCTCAAGCAACAGCTGCTCCCTACCACTCTTCAACGCCTCAAGATCAGTCAACTTTCAAGTCTGAAATCTTTGGACGCAAAGGGACTTAAACACCTCACTTCTCTTTCTCTTCTGAGCATCTCTGATTGTTCTGCCCTGGAAAAAAGGTATAAGAAGAAGACGGGAAAAGCTTGGGCCAACATATCTCACATTCCATGCATCAAGATAGGCGAAGAAGTGATCATATGATATGAGCTCTCTCTCTCTCTCACACATTCCTTGCATCCGATGTTTCACTCTCAACTCTCAAATCAAACTCAGGTATGTACTTCAAATAACTGGCTTAACTGGTTTTCTTCCAATTGAATCCAAAAACCAAAATACATATGATTTTTCTGATAAAAAAACCCAAATACATATTGGATTTCCCAAATTCATGTCTCCAAATAAACCGAGATGCATATTTGTTACTATTTTTATGCCCCCAAGTTCATTGTATTATCTTATTTACATATCAGATATTTTTGTCAATTACATTTGGCACTGCTGTTTACTGGTCTCTTGTTATTTTCCGATTAAAATCATTTTCCAGGACAAACAGTTTGTGCTCAACAAAAACTCTCAATCTGATTTCAATTATTATTTTTCTCAATAAAAATCTCGTTCTATGTACTATATTTCTAATTGGTGTTGTTAAGTCTCAAATGCTGAATAATTAGTAGTCTTTTGCAGGACAGCATACCTTCTCATGGAGAGCTTTTCATTTGCAAGGTTTCTTTGCATGCCATTTCCAGACGAGGAGTTTGCCATTGTATATAGCCTTACAATTGTTACAACGAGGAGAAACAGAGAGGCTTGCCTGGAATATCTCAATTTGACGCATTTCTGCATACAGCATCGAATGTACAGCATTTTTAGGTACTTTCTCATTTGAGCTAGTTTAAATTGTGTTTGATGCCTATAGATAACCTGTGAGCTTAAGTTGTTTGATCAAGTTATCTATATCCTTTTCTCTGCTTTTAGATTTCATTCAAGTTGTGATTGGAGTGCTGCTGGTTTTTAAATTCATTCATAAAATGTTAGGATGTTTAATCTCTGGTTTGCGGTTTTAGTTGAGTAGTCTTTGTTTATCCAGTAGATAACTTGTGCCCTGTTTTGCAAATTTACCTTTTTTCTTTCCCTAATGAAAGCATGTTCCTAATGAAAAAAAAAGAAAAAAAGAGAGAAAACAAAACAGTTTGTTTTTGGTCAAAAAACAGAACTGTTTTCATCGATGCTTATTGGTTATTTTCAACTGCAGAAGCCTACTTTTGACATAGGTGGCATGGCACAAACTTGCATCCTTGCTTCCTTCCCCATTGGCATAGGTGGCTTCTCATCTTCATTCTGTTACCAGCTTGAAGCTTGTGTAGATATGCTTTGCTCTTGTAGCTCTGATCACAAAAATCGGTTCACAAATGGAAAGTCACGATTGGATCTATTAGCAGAAGATCTGGAGGTGTGCATTCTAATATTTCTTTTCCTTCCATTCTTTTTCCTCCCTCACCATCATAACTTTTTACTGACAGAGAGGTTAGGTGGGGAAGGGGGAGGCAATAAGAGAACTTTGAAATCTCTCACAATTAGATTAATTTCTAAATAGTTGACGTATTTCCTGGTGCCAAATTTATTTTATTCCAACATGTAGGAATTGGATTTGTTTTGCTCTTGTAGTTCTGAAAACTTTACAATTGGTGGCAGGGGAAGTGACAATATCTTGGAGATGTTGCTCGAGCAAAAGCTGCTCCCTACCACTCTTCACACTCACCGCATGAATGAAATTACAAGTCTGAAATCTTTGGACAGAAAGGGACACCTCACTTCTCTTCAACACCTACGAATGGAAATCTGTCCTAGTCTCGAATTTCTGCAACTTCAACACCTCCCTTCTCTTCAAAGGCTATATTAGTTGGTGTGACAATCTCCAATTCATGCCAAAAGAGGGTTTGCAGCCATCTCTTTCTTTACTGCAGATCTACAAATGTTTTGGCCTGGAGAAAAGGTATGAGAATAAGATGGGAAAAGATTGGGCTAACATATCTCATATTCCTTGCATCCGGATAAATGATCCAAGTTTTTTTTTGTTTTTTTGAAAACCCAAAACTCGACTTTGTTGGCTCAGCTTCCAAACTGGGGCCCACTGCCATCTCTCTCTCTCTCTCTCTCACACACACACACACACACACATTCCTTGTATCCAATGTTTCACTCTCAACTCTCAAATCAAACTCAGGTATGTACTTCAAAATAATAACTGGCTTAACTGGTTTTCTTCTAATTGAATCCAAAAACCAAAATACACATTCTTTCTCTGTTAAAAAAACCCAAATACATGTTTGATTGCTCAAATTCAGTGTCCAAATAAACCGAGTTACATATTTGTTACTATTTGTATGTCCCCAAGTTCATTGTATTATCTTATTACATATCAGAGAATAACCAAGTCTTTATGCAAAGGGTTCTGCCAGCAATTTTGCATCCCATCAACTTTTACAGTTGCCAAAAAAATCTAGTATTTATCTTTTATTACTAATTGTACCTAAGCTCGCGTTCTCATATTGGTTAAACAGTTTCACACATCTGATCAAAATCAACTTGTGCTCAACACAAAAACTCAATCTGATTTCTATTATTATTTATTTTTTGGCTCAGTAAAATTTCGTTTTATTTACTTTATTTCTCATTGGGGTTGTTTTGTTCTGCTGATCCCAAATGGTGTCCTATTTAAATCTCAAAGCTAAATAATTAGAAGTCTTTTTGCAGGACAGCATACCATGGGGAGCTTTACATTTGCAAGGTTTCTTTATGTGGCATTCCCTGAGCAGGGTTCACCATTGTATATAGCCTTTTGTTTTTCTGCAAAAACAATTGTCACAGCAAGAAGAAACAGAAAGGCCCACCTGGAATATTTCAATTTGACTCATTTCTGCAAACAGGCATCGAATGGACATCATTTTAGGTATTCTTTCATAACCTGTGAACTTAAGTTGTGAGATAAAAGTGGCACTGCATGATTGTTATTATCTTTTTGAAGATGTGAGCATGATATTTATCATTCATAATGTTGCAGTGCACAAGGAGCACACACATTCATTCCTAGTGAATTAAACTTGGTTAAGCTTTGTTTGTTATCTCTCTCCTTTTCTCTGTGTTTAAATTTTATCAGTGCTCCTGTATTTAAATTCCGTTCATGTACTAATGTTAGGATGTTTAATCTCTGTTTTGCGGTTGTGTTGAGTAGTCTAGCTTATCCAGTAGATAACTTGTGCCCTGTTTTGTGATGTTTTTTCTCCTTCTTATGAAACCATGTGTCTTATCAAAAAGAAAAGGTTTTGATTGATACTTATTGCTTATTTTGAACTGAAGAAGCCTACTTTTGACATAGGTGACATGGCACAAAACTCGCATTTGTACTTCCGTCCCAATTGGCATGCCGCCTCATCTTCTTTATACTGTTACCAGCTTGAAGCTTTTGTAGATATGTTAGGCTCTTGTAGTTCTGAGTGCTTGACAAATCGAAAGTCGCAATTAGATCTTTTAGCAGAAGTTGTGGAGGTATACTTTCTTACACCTTTTTCCTTTCATTCTTTTTAATGACAGAGAGGTTGGGGTGGGAAGGGGGAAACAACAAGAGAGATTTTAAAATATCAGAGAATCAAACTTGCAGCTTAATTTCTAAAGAGTTGATGTATTTCATAGTACCTAATTTTATTTTATTTTTCCAACAATTGGATTAAAAAAGTTAGGTACTATGCTTCGTGTTCGCACCACTTTGCAAAACCCAAGGGAAGGTATCGTATAGTAGTGTAGCTCGGAAGTCCGAGTGTCGTATCCACAGAGAGCAGTGTAAAGAAAATAATAGAGATGAAAAAGAACAAGTGTGATTGAGAAGTTGATTTATGCAAGATTTGATTTAGAGAAAATTTAATTGATTAAAACACTAAGGCATTGGGTCTCCACTTTTAACATAAGCATGCAACTCTTAATAATTTGATCCACAAAATATTTTCCTTTGTAGTTGTTCAACATAATTAAAGCCCTTTTTAATTTCCTTTAGAAGTATTCTAAGCATAACTTGTACCATTGGCAACAAACTATCAAAAAATAATCTTCATCAAAATTCTATTAATCTTTAGTAATTCTCTTCTCTTTTAAAAGCATGAAAGTTTTTACTACACAATGGGAAAAACATGATTGAACCCATGAAATAGATTATCAAACATTCATCAATTAATTAAAAAGAAAACTACAAATTCCATTTGAACAAAAACTACAAATTCACATTAAAGCTTGAGTTTGGATCAAACTAATAAAAATTACACACTTATATTAAAGCTTTCCCCCTAGCCTTAGCTAGGGAGTTAGTTCCCATAAAATAAAACTAAAACAGAAATTTAGAACTAGAAGAATTGGAGGAAGGAGAGAGAGCTCAAGAGAAGATTGTGAGCTTGGTGTATTTTCCTTCTATGGCAACACTCTATTTATAGAGAATGGGAATTGCTCATGTTGCAACTTGCTTTGATTAAACTATTATTCCACCTTGCTACTACCAAGTGTTTCACCCGTCAATTGCCATCAAATGCTTCCATTACTTGTGTTGATGACTCCACTTTCTTTGTTTATTTCACTCTAGTGCTGGCAGCACCCTCCAAATCTTCATCCT